GTTTCACCTTTTGAGTTGCCGTACTGACATAAATGAACATTTGCACGATATTCTAATTTTTTGAGTTTCACCTGTAATTGAAATGGGTCCAGATAATCAGTATCTTTTAGCTGCATCTGTGAGGCCTTTAATTGTACAATTCTACCAGGATTTAAGATACTTTAAGTGTATCTCCTTAGCAAGTGGGCTGTATGCTTCCATAGACATTTTCCTGTGGCAGGCAGAGACCCCAGATATCTCACTGATGCAGTTTGCTTCTGATTTTTATTGTTTGGATATGGAATATCAGCTTCATAGAAGATGGCCCTCAGGTCTACAGAGAGGTTAATATTCCCATTGGTAGACAAAAATAAAGCAAGAACTGTGCCTGGCAACTTTTTCTCTCTTGGCAGATGTGGAAAGGAACAGCTTCAGGATGTGGCTGTAGAGTGCTCAGTCCTGTGTGTTTCTGCATATGCATATGGAAGTGTGTGTGTGTGTGTGTGTGTGTGTGTGTGTGTAGAGAGAGAGAGAGAGAGAACAGTGAGGCATTCTTAAAAATTCTTCTCCCTTGTCTGATAAACATAAGGCAGCTCATTTTGTTGGCTGCATTCCTTGAGATTTGACAGTCTTATCAATATAGAAACAGTGCTAATCTGGGCATAGGTATTTGGAATTAAGTCCAATGTATTCAAAATGATTGAGTGGGGGCATACAAAATTGAAATAATTTTTCAGTTTTCCAGACAGGAGGGAGTGACTCACAGAATGAAGAGCCCTAGGAATCAATATTCCCATTGAAGAAGAGGAGGGCAGAAGCCCCCCCCCCCCCCAACTGCTCATGGACTTCCCAGATGATTAAAGGAATTCTTGAAATGGAGAATCTTACCGTATTGGGTCTATGAAACCCTCAATCCATTTGAAGGGTGATCATTAATCTCTGCTAACATTTGCAGAAGGAAGGAGGAGGGAGCTCATTTTCTGGCCCAGACCCAACAAGGAGGAGAAGTGCCATGCTGTTGAGAGCTAGGGGAAGCTCTCAGAGGCCTCCATGTGGGACATCCCCCCATTGCCACCCTGGTCCTCCATTGCACTCCAGTGGTTACATTGGAGACTGGTTACATTGGAGAGTGGCACTTCTCTTCTGAAGAGCTGGAATTCATGTAACTTTTTAAAAAAATAATATCACAAGTGCAGTAAAAGTCTAATAGAGTGAGACAAAATTAAGGAAGCGGTAAAAATGACAACTGAACACCTGAACCTTATCTCACCACACATTCAGGGAAGGAATTAGTGATTGGTTTTCCCAACAGTAGATGACACTGGGTGAGAGGAAACAGGGAAGCAGGAAAGCTACTAGTTGCTGCTTTGAAACTACCCCAAATTGATAGCAACATTGACAGCTCTGTTGCCAAAGCATGGTGGCAGGCTCTGGGGGCAGTGGTTTCTATATTGGCGTACTTTCCTCCTGACTCAAGAACAGGAGGAAAGTACAGTTGCCACAGATGTGAGGCAGAATAGTTGAGATATCCTTAACCATTGGATGATTTCCTTTACTTCCACCCTACCTCTGCAATGCAAGGGGGATGGAATGATTGCCCTGCCTTATTGAGAAAATGAATGAAAGCACTTTTATAACTTGCTGGAATTCTGTACAAATCCCAAGTAACCTCTGTATTTCTCTTACAGCAACCACAGCAGATCGTTTTTATAGAATAGACCGTGCCCAGGTGAGCTTTACTTTGTTTTCCAAAGGCAGTGGACAGTGAGCTTACCCATTTCCACGCTCCTTGTGAAACTACATGTGATTTTTGGCACACATCTTGGTTTTTGTTTGTTTTTAGAATATTACACTACTAACGGAATGAAGGGATCATTCTTCTCAGAAATAGTTACTATCTCCAATTAGTTTTTTCTTTTCTATTTGTTTTTTATGTACTTCTGTAAGAAAAAACAATTACAGTGATTTGTTGCATATTATCAAACTATATTGATTGAGGTTCCGACTAGTTAATAATAGTAGAAAAATAAATCCTGTCCCTGAAATTATTTATCTGTATATTTCCAGGAACATCTTAATTATGTAACAGAGATCTCCCAGGATGAGTTGTTTGTGTTAGACCCAGAACTGGTGCGCACTCAAACAGTGGGCACGTCTCCTGCCATGCCTGACCTTGTTGATGCTCCCTCAACACCCACAAAGCAACACCTTCCTCTCCCAATTTCACCACCATCTACACCAGTCTCCAGGTGAGGCTGACTGCTTGGGGACTAGAGGTAAGAAAGACCAGACTAGATTAAGGGAAGGACCGCGAGGAAGAATAGCTTAAGGTTTTATACAAAATGGGGGATGAGAATTCAGTCTCCGGGATTTGAATCTTTGAATTGGGATAGGAGGGCTTATTGTCACCCTTTGTCAGCCCCACTAGAAAGATCAGACCATGAAATCAACTCCACAAGATGGTATAATGACTTTTATTGAGATTGGCTATAATGACAGAATTTTGCAAGTCTCATTGTGCTGTACCTCCTCCTCTTTCTTATAATTCAGTGAATTAGGGAGGTGTCAGTCTGAGCCACTTCCAAAGGTTATCTGGATATTCTGGACTTTAAAAATGTGTTAGCGCCTTTTGCCTAGGCAACAGCACCTGTATCAAGGTCATCTTCCTTACTCTCTACACCCATAGCCTTAGTAATCTGAAGATTGGATCATCTATTTTAATCTTAACAGAATGGCATGATGGTTCAAACTGGGTGAAAAAGCCAAGACAAGAGAGGATGTGAATTCCTGCAAACTTCTTGGCTCAGCCACTTCTTTAAACTGACTTCATTTCTTAAGTAGGGCAAAGAAGAAATCCCAATCTGTAGGAACACCAGGATCTTCCTATTCTGTCTCTTTGATTCTAGGCAAATAGAGGGGAGTTCTTACAGAAGGGAGGGATTTGAATAGGAAGGACTTGTTTTTTAGGTTTGAATCTTTCTTGTTTTTTTTCCAGCTCAGCAGTGGACAGCAGCCAGATCCTTAAAGGTGAGGTTTTTGTTCACAATATGGACTTGCAGCATATTTGGTTTCTAACTTTTTTTTAGCATAGCTGATATAATCCTTGGAATTGAGAGGTGGGAAGCATCAGTGCTATGTCCATAGTTACATTTATTTGAATATTCACACTGAGGGAAAACAGGTCTATTACCAGTGTGCTTCATGCAGGTGAGACCTCACATTGGAGCAGGCCCAGATTTAAAAACAACCATTGTAGTACAGCTTGCACTGCAGTTTACTTTTAGCCTTTGGTAGGTGACATTTAGATATATTACACCACAGAACTACGAAGAAACAAGGAGAAGCCAGGCTAGACCACTATGCAGTGTGCTCTAATGCAGGAAAATTGCAGTTTAATGCCTTCATCCCTGCTGCAGCAAGAACTTAAAGTTGCTAGAGTCCTGCTTGGGGAATTCCTTCAGGAGAGCAGCTGCTTGAATGACTGCATTGTTCTCCAGGCGAGAGCCATTGGCTTTGCATACTGTCTTCCTCAGCTCACTTATAACATTTGGCAGAGAATGCCACAGTGGTACAAAGTTAATCTCCCACCTGTAGTGACATGGGATGCATGGAGAAGCACCAGGATTAAGGTCTGCCAGATACCAGTCAGGGGCCTTTCTCAGTTGAACAAATGGAAGGTGTTTCCTAGAGTCGAACAGAGCATAATTCCTCGAAGTATGAGTCACTGACAAGGCATCTTCCAGGTACTATCTCCTTGGGGACATCTGCTTTCCACTTCCCTATTCACCTTTTCTGCTTCATTTTTTCATGCTGACTATTCATTGTCCTATGAAAGGAGTCAGCCGTTTTTTTGTGCCATGAAACCATTTCAGAAAATGTCCAGAAGCCATCACAAAATGGCTGCCATGAGGACTACCCTAATGACATTGGGCGAGTTCTTTGCCCAAGAAATCAGCTACAAAAGAGATGCTGGACAAAATACCTATTTCTCAGGGGGGGAAATGATGCCGATAGGAAAAAGCTTAGACCCCCCCGCAAAAAAAAAAAAATGCACAAACTTAAAAATGCCTAGATATCCAGAAGGGAGAAAACTAGTAAGACATGTAACAAACTACCATCAGCCCTCCCAACACAAAGTCCCAGGCATCTCCCCAAAAAGCTATGCACGTCAATAATGTGCCATCCAAACAAAAAATCACATAAAATATACACTCCATAACCACATTCCGTAGGCAATCACCATAAATACAGGCCACATCTCTGCCTTCAAAAAGGCAGTTTGGCCTAGTGGGAGCCAGTTTGGACTAGTGGTTAAGGCTTCAGGCTAGAAACCAGGAGACTGTGAGTTCTAGTCTTGCCTGAGGCATGAAAGCCGGCTGGGTGACTTTGGGCCAGTCTCTCTCTCTCAGCGACGACAGGCTCGAGTGACAAGCTGGTCTATCAATTCCTGTTGCAACCATGGATCAACATCCAGTTGATCCAAAAAAAGCAGACCTGCACCTGTGGGGAAAACATGAGGAGAAAAAATCTCTGCCTTCAAAAAAAAAAAAAAAAAAAGAGGAAAAGTTAACTCATACGTGCATGTGCAAACAGGCAACATCTTATCCCAGAGTCCAAGTAAACTGGATAGATGACCCCCAGAAGCATTACAATCCCTCTAAATACAGAAAGTCTTTTAGGCAGTACCTTCATAAAAATCATACTCTGGGAAGCTGTGTGATTTATTTTCCCCCCTTCCATTCCTCTATTTCCTTAGGGCAGCTTGATCAGGGAGCTGGAGATCTCAGTGGTGTGTTTTTCTCTCTCCTTGAGAGAGGCTTTAGGCTCTTTCCTCCCATGCCTTGTGACCTTCCTTCCCCCTTTTCCTGCTTGCACCCTCTTAATTTCCTCCATAGCTTACTTCTTAAATTCTCTACAGCCTCAGTGATGTATTAGGTTGTGTGCGTGTGTGTAAGTGTAAGTGACTATTGCATTTTTGTGTGTGTGTGTGTGTGTAAGTGTAAGTGACTATTGCATTTTTCAACTAAGGCTTGGAGTTGCAGGAAAAAGAAAGCAGAACACTAGCCCCCTGTGAAAATCAAGGAATTTCACAAGTCTTATGCACCACAACTATGTAATACACATATTTCTACCAAAAACAAAAAGAGTAAGACCAGTGAAATGTAAACAGTGGAACATTTACTCAGGAAATGATGAATTTGCATAAATTATCTTGCCTCCACAGTAACAGTTTTTTGTGTCTGAATTTTTTGTGCCTTATCTTTCTTCCTCCAGACAGACCCGGTGGGAGATTACACTCCATGTCAGAAAAGTTTGCCATTTTGTTGGTTATTTTTAACATCTAAATTGGGGACCTTAATACGGGGGATTTGCATCACTTTCTTCTTCCTGCTATGAGCTGGTCCTCTGTGTCTATAGATTTCCATAGGAATGAAGCTCCCATTCACCTCGTTGGGAGCTTTTTTCCCCCTATACATATTGCAGGAATAGTGAGGGATCCAGGTTAGGACTTCCACAAGGAGCAAAAAGCGATGCCTTTCCTCCCCCTTTTCATACTAGGGTTCTGTTCTTATTTCGGAATAAGAATAACAGTGGTAGGGTTTCCCCTCCTGGTTAGATCTCTAGAAGTATTGGGCTGCAACTTGTCTGAGACTGATAGAAGTAAGAGTTATCCTAATGAACATAGCAGTACACAGTTTGGTAGATAAAGTCACAAGCAATTTCCTGAGGTCCTCTGAGTAAGTATCTTTGGATTTATTAGCCAGTCCCTGTCCCTAAACTGAATTATTGTCAGGCCCCCAATTGCTGTTTCTTTGGTATTTATCCTCCTCACATGTCTTACCATCTCTCTGTCAACTACTTCATTTTGTACTCTGATCTCTCTTCTTTTACAGATGATCCTTTGATAGATGCTGCCAAGAATAATGATTTCCCCAAGGTAACAGCTCTGGGGTGCTCAAACCAAGCTGCAAAGTTGTAGAACCTTTACCACAGCAATATCATTCATGCTGGTTTTATTTAGGGTTGCATGTAACTGCTTTGTTGGCATTATATCTCCAAATCTCTTAGTGGTGCCAAGTGACTTATTGATTTCAGTTTGTTTGTTTTCCTTCACCAGCAGTGCAGGTTTCCTTTAAGCCAGGTGGCCCTTTCATCCAGTGAATTCCCAGCAGGCTCACTGAGGGCCTCCTCTTGCTGTATTGTGACACCTAAAAGGCATGAAGAGAATTGTAGTTAATTTTTTAATAAAAGTATCTAGACAAGTTACAACTCAAAGGTTTTGGTCTGGATGGCAGGCTTCTAAGATCCTGAATGAATTCCAGTTGTATGGATCTATATGGTATCGTACCCATCCAATATTCATTTGCAGTGCAATTAAGAGAACAGAGCATTTTCTACTTTTTTTTTTTTTTTTTGGTGCTTTTGAGTCAGTGTTGACTTCTGGCAACTGCCTGGACAAGTTCCTGCAGTCTTCTTGGCAAGATTTCAGAAGTGGTTTGCCATTGTCTGATTCCTAGGGCTGAGAGAGAATGACTGGCCCAAGGCCACCCAGCTGGCTTTGTGCCTAAGGCGAGACTAGAACTCATGGTCTCCCAATTTCTAGCTTGGTGCCTTAATCACGACACCAAACTACTTAAGGAGTACTAATTAATCTTGCTGAATTCAGGTGGGTATCTTAAATCCAGCTATTTACCCTTAATGGTCCCTACTAGAAATATGTTGGATGTCCTCTCTGTATCTATTCTTCTGGAATTCAAGGTAATTTAGCACAGTGTTTTATGTTCAGTGTCAGAAATACCTGTAATGCAATCTCTATCTTATTGTATTACAGCCAGATTTAGGACGTGTTTCTTGAGCCAACTGTCAGTTAAGACAATGGTTGCTGCAACAGAGAGAAAAAAAGCCTATCAGATTACTTTAGTAGTGTCTCTTAATAGCGTTTTTATCCTCTAAGATACATTTAGAACAGAAGAATTGTAATGAAACTGAGTAATTACTGTTTAGAAAACCATTAAGTCTTTGAACCCTTCTAATTTGTGAGTAGGCAAAGTTATATACTTGTGTGAACCTCTGCTTTTCTTTATTTGCAACAATAGTATTTTTCACATTCCATTTTACGGCAATATTCTTTATATTGGTAAGAATAAGGCATTATAATTCTGGTGTTATTAGGACCAATCCTGTTGTTATGATTGGGTTTGCACAACACCTTAATCCAGGTTGAAATTGGGTTGGGTAATTGGTTCAGTGTGTTAATAGGACTGCAGCCATTATCTTAGCATGGTGTATAACTAGGGCATTACACCATAATATTGTTTGTTTGTTTGGTCATAGCATATTATGTGACATGGAAATTGTGTTTAGTTAACCAAGATTTAGCAACCAATGAATGGAGCAGAAGAGATGGCAAGTGCCATCTGGCCATTCAGCTATCTTGGATGACGAAGCAATGTCTTTGATATGGATTATGTAGCACCTGGTTAAGTCCACCAGCCAGCTGTCCCTCACTGTTAGCAGCACAGAAATAGGATTCTGCTATAAATTTAGTCTACTTCTTTATGTGAAACTGTGAAAGCAGGGAAGAGCACTAGCTCATAGATTCCCTCAGGCAATAAATACATCAGATCAGCTGTGGGTTTACATCTGCCTCTGGTTACATCCAGTAATACTCTCTTTTAAATGGGAGACTGAAACATCTTCCCTTGGAAAAGCCTTTTTAATTGCTTCTGGCTCATACCACAACCCAAGTGATTAACTGTTAACTTCTTTTTCCAGTAATCTCCTTTTGTTATTGCTTGTTTTAAACTTTTTGTGTAAATTGCTTTGATTGAGGCTTACCTCAACAATGTCTGTATTGTGGCTCATTTCAAGTGATCCTGTCTTGCTCTAGTTCAAAGAACTGCACCAGGCTGGAAAAGACTTGATGATGCGTGATCCCACTGGCCAGACTGTCCTTCACTATGCTGTCAAATCAGGGAGTAAGAAGATTGTGAAATACATAATTGAGAATGGTAAGCAAAATGGATGAGGTTCTTAGCTGCAATTATTTTAATGAGTTATCAGTGTTTATTTTAATGAGTTTATTTATTTTAACTATTTTAATGAGTTATCAGTAACTAGTCAGCAAGGGCAATAGATTTCAACATACTGTTTTTATTTTGGATTCTTACTGTGTCGTATGGTTCTGCATAAAGCCATTCTGACTTCAGTTGAGGCTGGCCGCTTAGAAGGCAAACAAAGCAGCTTTCTGGTGTTCTTATTCTGTAAGAGAATCTGTGAGCCCACGTGAACCAAGATGGCATCCATAGATTTTAGTGAAAAGAGTACAAAAGCTATATAAAGCTGATTTAGGATACTGACTAAATATTAGAAAATGAATATTGTGCATTTCACAGAATGGTTTCAGTATTTATGAGAAATGCATATCCCACTTTCTCTATAGGGGGAGGCAGTGGGGAAGAAAACAGATTCTGGAGCTATAGGAGAAGGGGAAAGATGTGGCGTGGATCATATCTTGCAAGTTGATCTTATTTTATATTCTCTCTCTTTTTCTCTGTTCCAGCCCCTGCAGAGATTTTGGATGTGGCAGAAGAAGAGAAGTAAGTTCCAATCTGGGTTATGGTGGTTAATGATGTCATAGTAGAAGATCACAAGGGAACTATGCACACTTTTTTCCAGTTGATCCACCTTTTTATATATGGGTGCATGTGTATTTATTTATTTATTTATTTATTCATTCATTCATTCATTCATTCATTCATTCATTCATTCCATTTGTATGGCCGCCCAACTCTGGGTGGTGAACAATCTTGTATGTGTACAAGGATAGCTCAACCCAACAATCTGTCCTTTGGGATTGTCCTTAGGATCATGGCTATGAGAGCTGTCATGTTGAGTAGTTTGTGCTGTAAGCTTAAATGCTGTGCCTGAAAAACAAGTAGAAGGTTAACTTTTTTCCTTCATTCCTGTCCCCTGCTTATAATTCCAGCTTCCTTTGCTGCTTAATACTGACTATTTGAAACAGGGATTGTGTCTGTAGATCTACTTGTGGAGACAGTGAAAGCCTTATTTCCTGCCAGCAGTTCCACTTGTAGAAAAGGTGGGCAGCCTGCAGGTCGTCCCAGAATCTTGGATACCTGTGCAAGGGAATTAAGAGGAGCACTTCAGCAGATCACTCTTTCCTGATTCAGCAGTTTCTGCATAACTCTCCTTCATCTCACATGAACTCTTAAATTGCTGTTTCCCTTTCCACTGAGGTCTCCGGGTAGCAAAAAAAAAAATGCTGGGTTTGACTTGTGAGGGAGAACTTTCTCTGTTCTGTCTGTCCCTCAGCCTTTCTTCCTAGCTGATGGAAGAACTGATCCCCATGTCCTACAAAGGCCATGCAAACATTAATATAGAAGAGCTTGTGTTATGGACTAGTTCCACCCAGAGCTCTGCTGGACCTTTTTGTATTATTTGCCTTTTGGAGCATAGCAGGAGAGGGTATGTACTGTTGATCTAGTTCTCCATTTTAATCTTCCTATTAGTGGTGAGACCAGTTTGCATCAGGCTGCAGCTCTTCGCCAGCGGACCATCTGCCATTACATTGTGGAGGCTGGAGCTTCACTGATGAAAACAGATCTGCAGGTAAGAATTCATTGTGAGCAACAGAGCATTGGGAATATGTGAAGGGGAGTGTAGTTTCTATGTTCAGTTTCTGGGTTCAGCATCAGTAACGAATCTTTATATATGGTAGAATAGTGTATCCATGAGAAATGTTGACCCTAGTTGACTTCCTATCATGCTAGCTAATTATTTTTTGGGGGGCTGGAGAAGCACTTACACATTGCTACCCGCACTTGAGAATTCTGCTAAATGTATAAACCAGTCTTCCCCAAAAGTTAGAACTAGAATTCATGCCAGCTGAGAATTCTGGAAACTGTAATCCTATCACCACTTAGGAGTTACCAGATTGAGTAGAACCAATAGATCTTGAAAAGGTGCTGGCCAGGAAGAGAATGAATGATACTAAGATAGGAAAAGTAGACAATGTATTAGATGAAGCTAGATCTGGTTGTGGCCTGCTGCATTTAAGATAACAGCTTTGCAAAGGGTTGATCTCTTATGCTGCCAATGTTGTGAGGTTTCTTTCTCTAAACGTAACTCCAGAATGCCTCATTTCCCCTCTTTCCTTTTCCTAACATCATTGCAAAGATAGCCTCATTATAACTTTTTCCCACTCTCAACTGCATTGTCAAACTTCCTGTAGGAGAGGAATACTATATGTTACAAGCATTAATCCAAGCTAATAGAGAAAGTTCAGTCACTTTCAATATCAGAAAGCTGCAGAATTTTGGAATACAGTGATCCAAGGTTGTAGCTCTATTTTAATACCTAAGGGGTCTTAAAGAAAGAATGGAAGTTATTCTTTGGTACCGAGACTCCTAGTGGCTGGCCTATGATGTGTATTTTCTGATAGCCAATTTGTGAATTGTCTTTATGTCCGCTGGTAGTTGTGATTTGAAGCTGAATAGTAGTTGTACGCAGTGAAAATGCAGTGTCATGTTGCCAAAGTTTCCTGGGACCTGTGAGTTCATTTAGCCAGAGTAGATCCTAATGGACTACAAAAGCATTGGAACATTTCAAACAAGCAATAAAATCCTTTGCCAACTTCATGAAGATTTTTTAGCCAGTTCTTGGCAGCTCCTTGAACCCCTAACCTTTAGCCAGTGACGTGAGCATTGTAATGTGGCCAAACAAAAGTGGCTGGATCTGGAGTTGGAATGCCCAACGATTGTAAATGGAAAAAGAGTCCAGGTAAGATTGCACTATGAAAAATAGTTTGCAAAGTACAAAGAAGGATTGTCCCTTTTCTTCCTCACAGTTGTAAATGCTTGCTTTGGTGCCCAAAGAATGCTGGCTCATGGGGCTTAGCCCCCGTCCCCACAGTGATGGGGGCTTGAGTTCCTGACAAAAGACACTGCTGAAGCTGTGATTGTCTTAATATGACTTTCTGCATTTGGAACAAGACTCAAGGTCAGCACATCTGTAGCCAATGTTCGATAAATTTCAGTGTGACTTCCTAACTTCATGCCAACTGCTGAATGCTCATGCTGTAACATGGTGTTTTGCCCATGCAGGCAGAGTAAACTGTGTTATGAGAGTGTACAAACCTTCTTTCTGAACAAATGCCAGCATAAGTCAAATTCAATTTGGTCCCCGTGCCTAAACAAAATAGTAAAGTGGCTGAAACATTGGATCACAGTTTCCAGCAGCAGGGGAGGCGGCTTGGAGACCTGATTCCAGATTCAATTTCTGTGTATTTAAGGAGGGGACCTCTCTGCTGTTATTCCTGTTGCAAGAGAAAATAAGCAGTTGAATGGAACAAAATCTCTAGTGGTTAAAGATGCTGACAACGAGATTGTGAAGGAGCAGCCTTTGGGTTGTGCTTGTGTGTGTGTTGATGCTTGCATACACTGCTTTAGATTGGGAAATTGTATGTGGCTTCACGCATGTGCTTTGCTTCGTGCTTTATCTTTCATTTGGAGAATGACTGTGGTAAGGGGAAGGAAATGAGGCTAAGAACTTGTACGTATATATCTGTGGCTGCTTGTGAAGGAAGCCCTGCATGTCTGTGCCCCTGTATACTCCACTGAGACACAGCTGGCTACTATCTTTAAAAAATCACCAGGATCCATCCATCCATCCATCCATCCATCCATCCATCCATCCATCCATCCATCACTCACTCACTCCCTTCCTTCCTTCCTTCCTTCCTTCCTTCCTTCCTTCCTTCCTTCCTTCCTCTGTTGCCTTCTTTCTGCTAGGATGTGAGGGCCAGTGCGGGAGGCTTGTCCTCTCCCACTTTCAGTACAAGCGGCAGCTAGCCAGTTTTCCTTGGCCTTTCTCAGCAGCACGTTTGTTCAGCACTGGTGAAGTGTGGGGGTAGTGAATGAGAGGGAGAGTTTGTGCCATGGGGGAGGAAAGGGAGGCATCGCTGAAAACTGTTAACAGATTTACTTTTTATGGAGTGCAGGAGTTCATTAGCGGACACAGTCCAGATGGCTGCAATAAGTTCGTGAAATGTGAGTCTCCTTGGGGATCAGGAGAACTCGTAAGGCTGAGGGGATGGTATTTCAGGGCCCTCCCCAGGCATATACCTCACCCAGTCAACCCCCCTCCCCACTCCTTCTTGCTTTTGCAGAATGAGAAGACAAGCTGTGAAGTCAAGAAACACAAGCTTATGTCAAAACTTCTCACTTTCCCTATTTACACTCTTGCAGTGCAAGGATAGGGAAACATAGGCTCCCCCTCCTAACATCCAGTGAGAGGGGTGGGGTGAGCAGACAAACAGGCCCTTGAGGACTCATTTAGCTGTCAGCTGCTAATCTTCCAGAAAGCCCTGAGCTTCTCATCCGGGCAGGCTCTTCCAGTCTTACCACTCTTCCCCACATCTCTTGAGGCAAGACTGGAATCTGTGAATGTAGCTGCAGCCCCATATATGGGGCCCTTTTATTTTCAGGGCTGCATGTGAATACAGATTTCTCAGGATAAATGGTGGGTGCATCCAATATAGATATCCTTATTTATGGAAAATTGTATGTGCAGTTGCGAGAGTTCTAAATTGATGGAGAAGGCTACAGAGGCATTATTATTGTATTCATTGTACATTTGCATCTGTAATACAAAAAGAGGGGAAAATATGTATTTTCTGCACTCATTTGTCTTTTGCTTCAAAACCTTGCCCCGATATACACACACACACGTGTGTGTGTGTACATGTGTGCACATGCACTTGTCTACTAGTTTGTTTATGAGAGAAAGCAAGACATAGCAGCCAAATGATCTGATGTTTCTGCCTGTGGGAGTTACATGGAGCCTGAAGTTAAAATTAAATTAAAATGTTCTTGGACACTTTTATAAATTATGTAATGTCTATAGCTAGGTAAATATGATTTACAAATCTATTATTTTTATTTATTTATTTTTCACTGTCATACCCTAGTTAGTTAGTTAGTTAGTTAGTTAGTTTTAAAATCCTAGATGAGTGTTACATCTCGAATTGCCAACCATTAGCAATATGTGCCAAACATCTAATGGATCACAACAGAGTTGATGAGTTGAAAATGAAGAGGAGAGTGAAATTCTGTTGTATCAAATAATTTTGTGTTCTAATCTCCCCTATTGGCCTTTTGTTTCACCTTCTCACAGGGAGACACGCCCAAGCACAGAGCTGAGAAGGCAAATGATCCTGACCTGGCTGCCTACCTCGAAAATCGACAGCACTACCAGATGATCCAACGGGAGGATCAGGAAACAGCCGTGTAGCACTCAGCATGCCTTTATCCTTCTTCTGGGGGCAAAAGCAGAGTGACACAGGAACATGGCTAGCCTTTTCTTGAATATCCATCACAGAGAGGATCAAGAGTTTTTGTTTGGGCTTGGCCATGGTGCTGTTATTTATTCATGTAGTGGGTGTTGAACAATGCTGACTCCATATCCCCCACCCCCACCACATTCCACGTATGGACACTGCTGCCTAATGCTTCATCCCTGTCTGCTTCCAAGTTCTCTTGAGAGTCATTGTTGCTCCTCTCAAAGCAGGAAAAAGACTCCCTTCTAGCTATTGCTGGAGCTCCATTTCAGATATCTGCCCCCCACCCCGCCCTCTGCAACTGTGTGTTATGTCCCTAAAGGCAGCATTGCAACCCTTTCAGGTCTCCTGAAGCTTCATCCCACCAATTCTGCTGATTCCCAGCAGTGGGTATTGTCTTTCTTAATAGTTTCATCAGTAGCAATGCCCATTGTCTTGGTATATTCTATACTGGAAAATTGCTAGCACAATTTTTGAGAAGGCATCCAGGAAAGACTCGTGTTCATACTCCTATCTTGTTGCTCAGGCACTGTGGTATTCAATGACTTGTGTAAACTTTGGGTGACAGTCACATTGGCAAGCAGTCCAAGTATGGGCTAGGTTTGCATTCTCTCAGCACAGCATATCCCTCTTCTTCCCTTCCTTCATTCCCTTTATTCTGTTGACCCTGTACTGCAAGCCCCATGCTGTAAAGGGTGTTTATATAGCTTGTAAAAACAGGGAACACAGGCCAAATCCCACTCCCTCCAATTTAAGCTGCTGCAAGCTGAGTTTTGAAACTGCCACACTAAATGTTCTGAGCAAAGTGCCTCCTCTCCAGCTTTCTTCCCCCCCCCCTTTCTATTCTCATATATTGCCTTTTTTCTGCTTTTTGCATTCACTGGTTTAGGAAATAGCAGCCTGTTGTGAATGTATTCAAAATATGTTTAGGCAGCCTGAAATTTGCTGAAAAGGGGAGACAAATCTCATCTGAAAAGGCCATTGGTACTTGTCATACTTAAGGACAAAGCATTTTCAGTAGGGAAATTATCTTTTTGTTTTAAGGGGATATGAGTAACTATGAAATACATCAATATACAGGAAACTATTCCTATCAGCCAGTGTTAATGGCAGACTTTATCCTTTGATGCAGGGACCTGTAGTGACAATAGTGGTAGTGGATGGAAAAGTTCCTATACAGCCATCTGATTCCTTACCTGAATAGGAATGGTCTCTGCAGTTTGTTCCTAGACTCAGGCACAGGCATATAGTCATCCACTCCAAGTTATAATACTTTGGCACACACACTTAACAGTGTACAAGCACTGCGAGCACTATTGCAGGCATATCCTACTTATCATCCTAAGATGTTTTGTTTGCCCAAGCACTAGCTATTTGTCCCCTTTTTTGGTTTTGCTAAAACAAAAACAACCCCAAACTTCCTAACACTTAATGTTCAAAGAACTTGATGCAATGTTACTATAGCTAGTAATGGGATATTTGTTTCCTTAGCTGGCCTGCACATCTCTAGCTATTAAAAAAACTTACTTTAGTCATCCTGCATATAGATTGAATAGATAGCCAGCTGATTCCATAAAACAGAGACTAAATGAAATCCAGCTGAAATGCAGCTGAGTTTACAACCTTATAAACATGCTGTTCTACCTGAACAGCTCAGATTAAATAAGCTGAGATCTTTACTTGATCAGGAAGAGTGGATTGAAACTGGACCAAAAAATTTTAATAATTTACATCTCCAGCATGGGCAAGAATTCTTAAATCTCAGTGAGGCTATGGGCTCTCTTCTGAAACTATCGGAAAATAAGTTGCTTTCCATGGACTGATGACACTGGACCACAAACGAGCACTGAGTCTTAAAGGCCCACAGGAGAAGTCTTTGTGCACAGAATTTTTTTAAATTGGTGCATCTTAAAGGACATGAGAGGCAAGCTGCTGATGAAGAAAAACCTGCATGCAAAACTTACCAGGGGTTAACCTTCCATAGATGCAAGAGTTTGAACTTAGAAAAAGCAGACTTTAAAGTCATGGTTCTCTGAATATTAGGAGGCTCAGTAAGATTAAGGTCAGGAACCTGCTACATACCACCCAGATATATAAGAATATCCTATACCTGCCTGGAAGCTTGTTCTCCTTCAAGACTGAGCTTGCTTGCTTTCTGTATCTATTGCTCTTAAGATTGAGGTACTAAAAATGTCTGATAGCAACTGAGACTTTAACAGATGGCCCTGTGTCCATTTAAATCCCCTCTGGGAGCTTGCTTTTTCCATCTGATTGGAATGTGGCACCATGCAAAGGATAATACCCAAAAGCAGACTGCACAGCACTCTGAGCACAGATCTCAGGCAAGATGTGAATTGTCCTAAATCAGAAGCTCTGTCCCCTCTTTGACATCATCCCCTGCTTTCCTCTCCAGAGATGTGGTAAAACAGCCAAAACGTTTGGGGATCTGAGGGTGGTGCAGACTCGCAGCTGCACCATATCAAGCCCAACTGGTTGGCTCACCCAGGTCTTTGGCCTTGGACAACTGCCATGCCAATAATGGCAACTTCCCATCCTAGATGATGATGATGGATCTTATAGGTCAACTGAAGAGAATGCCCCACCCTTTGCTCTATCTAGCAGGATTCATGCTCTGGATTTTTAAAATTGTAAACATTCCTCTATGTAGCTGGATATACAAGCTGACTCCCTAAACATGATTTATACCCCGTAGGCCTACTATCTTTTCTTCCCTCCTTTTATATGTCTTCTTAAACTTTGTACAGGTAGTTCAAAAGCACACTGTTTCCTCATCTCTAAATGTTTGTTTGTGCATGTGTGTCCTAAGCTGAGTTGCTGTGCAATTCAAACCTTGGCTTGTTCTACTCCAAGGGGGAAGGAGTGTATTTGAGAGTGTTTTCCCTCTGTGCAATACCTAATTCCCATTTCCTAGATTCAGACTAGTAGGACACTTTTGGTTTGACTGGTTTGGGTTGGGTTGGTTTTTTTTTTTTTTTAATGTAACTACGTTGGAAGCGTGTGCTTCCGTTGGCTTTCTCTTTGACAGTTTAAATGTTTTGTTGAGTTTTGCCATTAAAATAGAAGGTTGAACATTTTACTTCCCCTCTCTATTTTTTTCAAAACACTTCGTTTTCTCATATATGGTGTGTGTAATAGAAAAGATCCTTTATTTCCTGAAAAAAGTAATAGCTAACCCTATTTTGGAATTGCTATGTGGAAACAGCTTTTAAGCATAGGTAAATACCACAGAATGAATTTGGCTGCCTCTCTTCCAAATTTTTTTCTTCAAAAGGATGGATGAGATGGGCTCTTAGCAGTTATTTTACTTTTTTGCAATGTGTCATATGGTGCTAAAAGAAAACAAAAAGTGACATGACAGTGACCATTCCTTTTTTTGCTTCCATTCCAGCACCAGTGCTGAACCACAGTTGCTGGTAGGTATTCCAATAAATAGCCCAACATTAAAATGTATGTTGTTTGGTTATTAACATACTGTATAGTAGAACCTCAAGAAGAGTTCCTGGAGGAAAAAAAAGTCATCTTCAAGTGTTTCAGGAAAAGCAGCTATGTCAGGGTATCTTTGAAAACTAATATATTGTGACATGCAGTTTTGTATTGCAAAACCTAGCTCAAAAGAGGCAGGGGTGTTTTCTGAAATTCAGGGAGACTTGAAGTTCTGAAGAACAGCCATACAAATACTGAACTGGATTTGAAGAACTGGGAATGGAAAACCTTTTCAGTTGCAAGTAACGCTGCATTTGATCACCCAGGTCATAATGGGAGGACTTTATAACACCACTTCTTATTTATCCAGACTCAGAAATGCAGGTTTACAACCTCTATTCGTTTTCTGCACTAAAAGCTTCACTCGTGTGCACACGGTCATGCATACTTATTCAAATCAAAGTTTAGGTTCCAGTTTTAAAATAATGAGGGGGGACGGCCACCATATGCAGTACAAACTAATAAGGCTTGGCCAGTCCCAGCTTGGCACTCTTCTCATGCCTCCTGCTACTTCTCCATTTGAGTACCATTACCTCACCCAGTTTACATGGAAATTACCTCTTGTTTTGAGAACCATTTTCTGTGGTCTTTGTTATTGTATCTTTTTTTCCACATGCTGTGTAAGCTGAAATCTTCTAGAATTCACTCTTCTGCTTCCATGGTCCCCAGTACTTTCAGTAGGTTTCATGCCTCTTTATACCTTCACCCAAATACACGCTACAGGGTGTAAAAGAACCAAACAGTAATGCTGTGAATAACATGGTGGTGTATCCCTTTACACATGCATCTTGCTATCTTTCATCTGACCCAGCAATCTGGGTCCTTCTTAGCTAATACAAAAATGCCGTTGCTGTTAGGAGCAGACCATCAGTCTGAGACCATTCTCATTTCAGTGTTGCCATCCTCACTGATAGGTGTTGGTATATGGTCAGGGTCAGACACTTACTTTTTTTTTTTTTTATCTGGGGAATACAATTTTTTATTCTTCTTATTTTGCTCTCCAAAGGCCATGGGGATTGTCTTGAGAGATACAGTGGTATCCTATTTAGCAGGGCAGCTGAAATTTCTTAGCCTGTTTTCCTGGCCCGTTAATAAAAGCTGGTGTAAAATGAACAAAATAAATTGTGTTGCACTCCAAATTCCCCTGCCAATGACTTTTTTGACACTTGATTTTGGGGTGCTAGAATGGCCTGTGGAATGCCGTCTCTTTGTTAGATGTGATACTACCCTCACACTGATGAAAAATAGAGGAACAAATGTTTAAAGTGGATGATCCTTTGACAGGGAAAAAGTTCCACCAGGAATTTTTTCTATGATCAAAAGCGTGTTTTTAAAATACTTTTAAAAAACGTCAAACTTATTAACATCGAATATCCATGCTTGCAACCAGTACTTGAATCCTCTACAGACGAAGCCAATTTTGTTCTTGAATAAATTATGCGTGTTTTAGTAGAACTTATTTCCAAATACATTTACTTCAGACTACAGCTGCAATCCAACACCAGAAAGTAAGGGAACAGATCTCTGCTTAACAGAGGTGATTAGTTCTGTGCCTTGGGTAGAAACTCCCTGAAGGCTATAACATCAATTTTATTCTGGCAGGGGAGCAAGCCCTAAGAGCAGGCTTGCATTCATAAACCAGACTTTCCTTTTCATTTATTACAGACTTGTTCATATCATCTCTTGGAATTTTTAATCAGCAATGTTTCATTTGGAAACCCTCAAAAAACCCTATTTAGCATTCACTCTACTGTGTCCATAAACTGCCTGCTAATATCTACTAAAGAATTTGTGGTTTCAAAGTTGAGCAAGGTCTGCTTTTAATTCTATTCCATCTTAGCTTGCTGACTCATATTTGGGAGGGGAATGATACATCATTTCCTCTGTTGATTTTCCTCTTTGTAAGCAGATAGAAATCCTGAAATCCATATGCAAATGAATATCCTGAGAAAAACTCCTGATATTAATTTGAGGTGTCCCTTTAAAGCGGTGTCCTAGATATGGCTGTCTCCTCAAAAGGCTTGCTATCCCATAGCTGGACATTCCATCTTAAAAGTTTGATTAAATACAGATGCTGTGGCTTTAAAGATCAGCCACTCCCCCCCCCTTTCTCTTCTCCAGTCTTTTAGTTGGCTTAGCATCTTGCCTGGGGGTGGGGGGCAGAATTCTGCAGCACTAGAAAGTTTGCACACCCTTCTGACCTTACATAAGTTTAATATGCGTTTTAGAATGTGTCATGGCATCAATACACATTCAAGAACAATCTGGAAAGCTAAAAGACAGCATATATTTCTCAATAATGTATTGTTCAGCCTTTATTATGAGACATGATGAGTATAACATTGCAGATGACAAGAAACATCTCCACATTTGAGAAAAGAGCACTGGCTCATAAAGGAATGGATGGAAGCTGCTGCTCATACATGCATGCATGTGCTAGGACTTCTTGGATGTCTTTCACAGCCTCACTACTTCAGGTAAAGTCACTAGGTGCCCAGAGTAACAACAGGGTTGTGGATAAATCTGTACCTCAGTCCCTTCAGTTTCTGAAGCACTCTTGTGCCCCCAACTCATACACACAATTGCTGCTTTGTCATACATGAATACAGCACCTATTGTGTTCATTTAAAAACAATGCATACCTCACCGATGCATAGCACTAGAATTGTGGAGAAAGTAGGCTTTGAAAGGTCTCATGGTTCATTATTTCTATTTAGTGACAACATAAGCTACAATTTCAAAAAGTGACCATCATGTAGGCTATTTCAATTTTTCTTTAATGATTAGCAAGTATATGCAGGCCTATACAGGTTGTAAAACCTAAAAAGTTATTCAGTTATTCATAGACGCACCACTGTGTGAAAATGCAGTAAAATTTGCAAACCCAGCTTCATGAGAGAAATACATGACGGTCGTCCATTTTCAGCCTTAAATGTGTCATCTTCCTGAACCAGGTGAAACTGAAGATGAGGAACGAGTTGTATTAAAATAAGTACTGTAGCTTTGAAAGCAGTCCAAGCTATATAACCTATACTAGACTGGAATGGTAACTGGGCTTGCTTTGATGCCTCTTCCTGGTCACCAAAGGATGGATCTGACAGGAAAGATAGACTTAACTTGCCTCTTCTAGCTAGAAGGCAGGACTAAAGTCTCTTCCTGTCCCCTCTAGTCACACCCATGGATTTCAGCTGAGTGGAGATCAACTCTTCTTCTGTGGTGTAATCCACTGAAACAGCAAACTTGTAACTGGTAAGCTACATGGGAACAGAGGACAGTGCATAACAGTTAACCTAGAGCAGTAAAGTAACTTGCATCTCAGCTCTTGAGTTAACTTGGAGATTCTTAATCTACTGTTAAAGAGAGTGGGATCATTGGGTTCTCTCTCAGTGGCCACAAAGGTACTTCATGATTACTGGAGCTGGGCCTTAAAGGAAAGGGTTGTACTACTGCAGTAGTCTGAGGCCACATCTGAGAAAACATTCTCTCTTTTATAAAGGTAGGTGGCTTCACCTCAAGGCTGCCCTACAAATTGCTGCCACTAGTATTCTTGCTGGTAAGGCCACCAATGTAATCACTAGATTGCTGTGAGGAAGGAAAAGAGCATAAAGTTTCTAATAGGGAGGTGTAAATTGCAGAAAAACATCCAGCTTCCCAGCCTGAACCCCTTGAAGAATGGCACTCATGCCTGGCTCCCCTGTAGAAAATAAGGTATCTTGAATGTGAGTGTATAGTTTTCTCCTCAATCCTTTGGCCCCTCTTTCCACCTACAAATAGGTAGGTGATGGGAATGAACAGGGCTTATAAGAAAGGCTTTTGGAGGCAGAAGTGGCTGATCTTTACAAAGAGGAGTCCCACCATAATTTCTGGGAGGGTGTAATTCTGCTTTAAAGAAATCACTGTGGTAGAATAAGGTGGCAGGGGTCCAAACCAAGTTACCAAAAACAAGGAGTTTTTTGCTAAGTTACCATGCTGGGTATTACTAGGCCAGGTCATGCCTTTTCCTGGGGTTGTCCCCTTTCTGACATACTCCCACATCCAGCATCCTCTAGCTTTCCTGCCACCATCCTGTTGGTGGAATAAAAGGTGATCCAGTGAGTTCAATTCCGCTGAGGCTTTGGGAGGTTTGGTGCTGTCTTCTTGCTTTACCCAGCTTCTGTTTTTGAGCTGGCTATCAGAGGATTGTCACAATTGATGTGCAACAGTGTCTCACCTGTCACAAGGAGAGAGGGATTCTAGGAGCCAACAATTTCACTACCTTTCCTGCTTCCTTCTGTGCCTGCTTTGGCAATGACTGACCCCTGATTAGCTCCATCAAACTTCCAGGGACACCAAGCTTATGATGAGTAAACTTATTGCATCAGAGTAAATGAAGCCATTATGAAAGAATTTGAAATGCAAGCCTCTTTATACTGAAATCAAACTTCGAATTCTTGTGCATTTTCCTCCCACATAAGATAACAGCTAGAAGCCATGGCGGGGGTGGATAGGCAAAACCAATAGTTTCTGCTTGTTTCTTGTTAGGGTACAGACTGATTTGGTATTAGGTTGTTTGCTTTTGACTGTGTGAGAACTTGCTTTCCAGGCTGTCTCCCAGCATTTCTTCTTATTGGGAAGGGTGTTCTTTCAGGCTGCCAGAGAATCCCAGATGCTGGCGCTGCATAATGCCTAGTCTATTGAGGAGGGAGGGTTTCTGAATGGACTTCAGCTCTGCTGTGTTATGGATGGGCTCAAAGCCAGTGCCACCACTCGCCTCTTCCATGCTCTACCACCTCTGCAAGTCTCACTGGACTCTTTCTCCATTATTTAGGCCACTCTCCTAGCCCAGCCATGAGGCCTCTCAGCTGCTGCCTCCTGCTGATATGCTGATCAGCTGGTGCACAGCATAGGAGGACTGGTCATTCTTGGTTCCCAAAATGGAGCCAATGGAAAATTATTACATTGTCTAGAATGAGGAGGATAAAGGGG